TAAATCATTTCCTTGATAACATAATGAGTAATCAGCTGTTCCTTTTAGATATCTTAAGATTCTCTTCACTGCTTTCCAATGTGCTTGTCCTGGGTTAGACTGGTATCTACCTACCAACCCAACGACATAACAGATGTCGACTCTAGTACATATCATGGCGTACATGAGACTTCCAACAGCACTTGTATAAGGAACATTCTGCATTTGTTTCTTTTCTTGTGGAGTCTTCAGATACATTTTACGACTTAAAGTCTCGCCTTTTGTGATAGAGTTGTCTATAGGTTTACAATCTTGCATATGAAATCGTTCAAGAATTTTCTTAATGTATGGTTCTTGTGAAAGAGATACTAATTTTCTTGAGCGATCTCTTGAAATCTTGACTCCAAGGATATATGCAGTTTCACCCATATCTTTCATCTCAAAATGAGATGATAANAATATAGTAATATACTTGGTCAAACTAACTTATAAGTAGAGTGCTTATAAGCAAAAAAAAAAAAAAAAAGTACCTCCCCCCCCCAACTTATTTTTTTTTTACTTATAAGCTAAAAAAAGCTATAAACAAACATGTCAGCTTAATTTTAGAGCTAATAAGCTAGTTTGACCAGCTTATAAGCTTAGACAAACACCCTCTTATAATACAAAACTTAAATGATATTCTTGTTTGGTTCCATATTTCTACCCATATTTCCAATCCTATTCCCAAAATATTGTTTGGTACATTATTTGAGAAATATTACTATATTTTTTAATTACTTTTAGACTACTTAAGTTTATTAATTTCATAAATACCCCCAGAAAAAAAGTTTAAAAATTAAGAAAAACACCCCCACTGACCCATACTTGCCAGATTCTGACAACTACCGTCGGTGGTAGCCAGAATTTGCCATAACGGCCTACACCACGACCAAAACTGACCGGTAATTCACAGATCTGATCGTCACTGATGGACTTTTGCGATCGTCGACTGACACATTTGGCCAAAAAAGGCCATATTGACGCCATACCCGTCAGATTCGACTGGTATGTATCGTTACACAATTTTTCGGCCAGATTTCGACGGTGGTGGCCCGAATTTGACATTACGGGTGGTGGGGGTGTTTTCGTTATTTTATAAAATTTTTATATATTTGGGTGTTTATTAAATTAGCAAACCTAGGAGGTTTTTTTATAAATTTTTAAATTTTATCTCGTAATACTCTCCTATTCAACTACCCAATATTATTCTCAAAATCTTATCTAAAATTATAAAACAAACGGACCCCTTATTTTTTATTTTTTAAGAAAATTCCTGGAGTCATCAATATAGGCATCTAATTTTTTTTGAAGCAGGAGAATTCTCTAAACTCATTAGACTTTGTAAATGGGTTTTTGTGAGGCCTAAAAAGCTTTGAGCTTTATAATATTTTTAGACTTGCACATTTCTTGGATCTGTTCTTAGGTGTATACCCAAAGCTGGACTGGAATAGATGTTGATGCAATCATATAAAGATGTTTCATGACCCAAGTGTTAATTGTCTGGCCATGGCATCTGGGACTGGGAGTAGAGAGAGTCTATTTGGACTAATCTAACCCTATTTGGACTAATATGACCGAGGTCCAAATATTTATAAATCAATTCTAAATCCAATTACTAATTGGGCTTACTATTAAGGGGGCGTTGCCCCCACCACCACTCGCTAATTGGCAAACAGGACCCTAAGTGCATTAGTGTAAGCCAATAATTCGTCAAGCCAATGTAAAGTATGAACGATATAAAACATTTTAGAGGGTTTTACTTGTTAGTTTCCTACTTTTCCAAAAATTTATTTGTAAAAACAGTTTTTTTTTTAAATTAATAATACTTAACTGGTGTCCGATATTTTAGAAACATAAACCCTATTTTAACTAAATTAATGTTAATTTTATTTTTTGTAATCTCCAAATTAGCTCTCTAATCAACTCTTAACACTAGTGTTTAGTGTATTTATTGTTTTGAAATGCACTAAACAAACTCAAATTAATAACAAATTATTCAGTCTAAAGTTGGACTCATTCAAAAGGAAATCTTACGTTATTTATTTTTTTAATAGATTTAGTACGTAAAATATTTTATTCCCTTTTTGTTCAATTTTCATCCATCCACACCTTATATATGAGTCCGTGGATAAATATTAAGGGTAATTCTACATGTACTGAGAACTTTACAAGGTTTTTTTGTATAAAGTAATGTGGCAGGAGATGAAAGGAAGAGTGAATACATCTCCTCCCACTTCACTTTGTATAACAAAAATGAAAATGTAATTTTAAAGTTAAAAGTTTATAGATAGTAAATCGCTATGAACATTCAAAGTTTTTCCAAAATACAAGCATGTAAAAAGAAAAGAAAAAAGCCTTTAATACTTTCTTAACATTCTTTTTAAGATATGGACTTTTGTACAGCCAATTGCACAAGTGACTGCTGCAATCGCCTTATTATAGCACAACACTAGGGGTGTTCAAAAGTTCGGTTAACCGCTTTTTTGAATCGAATTAGTTTTTCGGTTAGGGAAAATTCTCGAACCGAAACCAAACCGATTTTTCGATTAACCTGTTTTTCCTTTTTTTTTTTTTATAAAACTTATTTTTTTTTCCTAAATTAAATTGTAAATATAAATAATACATATCTAAATAAAAATTAAACATTCATATATATCCATTGACCACTACTAACAATACATTAAAAATATTATTATTATTTTATTTAATATATAATATATAATAATATTATTATTTTATTTAATATATAATATATTATTTTTATTTAATATATAATATATATATTTGTAAAACCAGTTCAAAAAACCAGTTTCGGTTAACCGCATTTTATTTTTTCCCGAACCGGCAACCGAACCAGAAATTCAGTTTTTAAAATTTTTTGAACTGTAACTAAACCATTTTTTCGGTTAATCGGTTTTTCAGTTCGGTTCGATTTTTGCATTTTTTGGAACACCCCTACACAACACTACAGATAATCCTGTCACAAATGCTAATCCCATTGAAATAAGTCTAGTCCACGTTAACCAAATATTTTCTTAAAAGAAATATTTATTTTGGAAGTCAAAAGTATTTAAATTTTTTTGGTTTACATAAATTGAAAAATTGTCCGTTTGGTTTATTATTTCATACCCTATTCCCAATCCTATTCTCAAAATATCTATTTGTTTAATTATCCAGGAAATACTATTATATTTTATTTAATTACTTTTAGACCGCTTAAGTTTATTAATTTAATTAAACACCCCAAAAAAAGTTTAAAAATTAATAAAAACACCCTCATCCACCCATAGTTGCCAGATTCCGGCAACCATCATCGCTGGTGGCCAAAATCTATCACAACGGCATACAAATGATTGGAATTGGTCGGTAATTCGTCGATATGGCCTTTTTCGGCCAGATCCACTTTGGATCCGACATGTCTGCCTCCTAACGCTAGATTCCGACCAGATTCCAGCGGTGATGGCTGGAATCTGGTACTGTGGGTGGGTGGGGGTGTTTTTATCATTTTATAAAAATTTTATATATTGGGGTGATTAGTTAAATTAGCAAACATAGGAGTTTTTTTGTTATTTTTTAAATTGTACCTCATAATAATCACCCTATTCAACTACCCAATACTATTTATAAAATCCTATCCAAAATAACAAACCAAAGAACCCTAAACAATACTTCTAAAATAGTCAAGTTAGAAGTATAACCAAGAACAATTTAGTAATTGGGTTAGTCAAAGCAGTCAACCCTCAATTTTAACAATAGGGGATGTCTTTGATAATATCTGTAATTATTATGGGATGCAATGTATTAGAATTACCCCTTTATATATACATATAAGGTGTGTCGCAACTCACAAGTACGTTTTTCTTATTAATTCAATGCACAGTTTGTTTATAGTATTTCTAATTACATAAGTAAAGCAAAAAAACTTCATCAACATGGAGCATAATGAATGTGTATTTAATTGTTTATGATATTATTATTATTATTATTATTACTGACAAATCGTGAGTCAAAAAAAGAAAATAATAAAGGTAACATTTCATCAAACCTAAACCTAGAGAAAAATCATTTATAAGGTAGTTCTTAATCGGGACCGAAATGAAAAACTCTAAACCTTTGCCCAAGTACTTGGAGGATAGAAATATTTATATATAGTTAGATTTTATATATATTTATTGATGTAATTAGAACTTGAAGTTCATTTAAGTTAGTTATAAGTAGTTAGTCCAGCCATCAGCTTTATATTCAGAATCTATTTATTGATTTCGTCTCATTTCTGAGAATCTCCTTTTTCTGATAGCTCCTTCACTATCAGTTATATACTAAAATCAACTGTTGAAGGTAAGATGAGACATTGGCCAGACCGGCCCGTACCCAGGTGCTCCTGTTACACGGGCCAGGTAACATTACCCGATCTGGATCATGTGTTTATCCTAGGCCCGCCTCTTGTCATCAACAAGTGGGATGGGATGTTACCGATGTATATTATATTTTATCAATACTCTCTCTCTCTCTCTCTCTCTATATATATATATATATATATATATATATATATATAACCTGCGCTCTGATTCTTGTAAACTATAGATGCTCAGATAAGAAATTGAATATAAAACTATATATTGATACGTCGAATATAAAGCCATATATCTGATATGTCTAGTATCACCAAGTACTAGTTAGAAAATTTCTTTGGATTCAGAGTCATTTAAAGCAAGAAATTTAATTAGAAAGAAGATTTCAAGATGAAACAAAGACACATAACGATGGATTTTGTATTGAAAAGACACAGAAACTGCAGCTTACATGAACTTTGCAAAGGCAACAAACGGCTTTAACATTAACTAGACACATTACGACTTGCACTAATAATAAAAACTAATTAAAACGACAACACTTGGAAGCCACTAGGCCACACCACAACTCTCTGGCTGCCTCCATCGCTGACTCTAACTTGTCTTCTTGTACTGCTTCTCCATGCATGCTCAACGCCTACGGCTTGCTGGCTCCTTCTGAGAGTTAAAGTAAATAGTAGCCACAGGGAGACCAAGATCCAAATGCCTTGCAAAAAGCCGAGTGTTGAAGTTTGCACGAGACGCTGGCTGCTCCACCGCCCCTAATGGAGCCTTCTGCTGAAACAGCACCATGATGAAGCGATGAATGCCAACTGGAGGACGTGGACCCACGTATGGCAGAATCTCTTTCCCTGCAACATTCATTCAACCCACTTCATTAAAACTACGTACAGTAGCTAAATCAAAATTCTAAAAGTATCAGTTAATAGTTTGGAATCAAAGGCTGCAGTCTGAATGATGGACAAGTGGAGAGATATGAGATAGACATGTGGTTTCAAGAACACTAATCAACTAAGGAGATGATACAGATGGAGTCACAAGTGGGCAGGCTATCATCGACATGGGTGATACCTGTTGCTTCCAGAATCAAACACGTGCCAACATGCCATGGTTTTGCATACAAAATTAAAAGTAAAACCCACCCAAGAAGAAAACACATCCGTTACATTAATTAATAATGGGGAAATCGAATGAAAGAGAAGAAAGTGTGTTTGTATATGCACAAAGAATTGCAAAGAAAAGCTTTTATCATGTACACAGGTACGTAAAATAAAATTTTGCATTTGAGAAAACAGAAAACAAGAATAGGGTTAATGAGCTAAACATTTTGTTTCTCCATGAACATGAAAGCATACTTGTACCACGTGCCCAAGGGAACAGAGAATTAATAGTTGTATTGTATCGATCATTTGGGAAATGTTGCGGCGATGGACAAATGTTAGAGTAGTATTTGGTGTTGGCGTAATTCAAGAAAACATGTATGCTCATGATCATCCTGATGTGATGTGATGTAACCCTAAAGAATTTCTCAAAAAATTATCACATTCATGCTCCATTTTGCCGCGTACTATGTAGAGTGGACACTGAGAACAGTTCTAAAGGCTTTATCAGTGTCAAAATCAATGTCCAGCTATAACGGGCTCTTATTTTAACTACATGAACTTCGAAAAAGATATCTTGAAATCTTATTTAACACATGTATGCATGCAGCCAGCAAAATCGAAAGAAATATTGAATCATATCTACTCTTTATTAATAATGAAGGGCAAGATTGATTAAGTGTAAAAGTTCATTCCAGGCATTAATATATAAGATTCAATTCGCTCAAAAACATATAAAATTCTTGTCTGCCTTCATCTTACCGATTCGTGCACAAAATATTTGCAAAGTAAAGATGATTTCATTTCATGTCGCTTAGTTATCGGACCTTCCATTTGCCACTCTTTCGTTGGCCAGATACCCATGAAGCTAGATATGCTTCCTTCATCTAAAATCAGTGGATATATATAAGACAAATTACTTGTATAGCTATCAGAAAACCCAATCAAAGATTCCTTTGGACTGGAAGATTCAGTGCATAATAAAATTTTCTCGACGAATTAGACTATGTATCAGAGTGTCTTCATATATATGGATAAGGTTGCTGACTATATATATATATATATAATATAATATATATATTAATATATGTATATTGCATCCTCCACAATGAAGTTCAGTGACAACCAAACATTCAACAGCAAATTTTGCAAGATTTTATGGAAGCTATCAGATTGTTGATAGGATATGATTTCAATTGATTCGACATTTCAAAAAACTCGAGTTCTCAAGCAGATAATTACGTCTTGCTAATGCAACTCGACACGTTGCGAAAGGGACTTCTAAATGTCAAATATCATGTTTCCATCTACCATTCAAGTTGAATGGGGGAGACTTCATGCATGAATTTAGTTTTAGGTAAATCTGCCATCCTATCCAGTTTCTTTACTTTTTGAAAAGGTTGGCGGATTGCATATTGTACACCCAATAAATGTTGTTTTTAAAACCCAGTTTCTATCTACAACTGTCATTGAGAAGCCATTTTTGTATATTAAACTGTACTTGGAGACTGTTCTTATGGTGCATTTAAGAACACTCTTTCTAAAATACAGAATTTTACAAAGAAATAAATCAATCGAATGTGAAATATACCGTTTTCTTCAGTTTATAAGGAGAAAGGTACTATTCATGAACGTTATCAGAAAATGAAGTTCCAGTATTTCGTATCCGAATCATTTCATATATTCGGACTTGAAGCACTGTTTAATCTAAAATTATGATTGGAGACCTCAATGGTAATCAGTAAAAAACCTCGCTTAAATCTCTGATAATGTCTAGGTATTTTATAAGATTGTCACCATTGTTCCTCAATGGTAGAGTCCCACCATGCACGGAAACTATCATTGAGTTTTCCAGTTGCATCAAACTTTTCGCGGGACAATAATTATAACTAAAAAGGATAAAAAGAGGGAAAAAGACAGATTAAAGATTCGGATAAGCAACATTATTATTTGAGGTCGACCCAGTGCAATTGCCTGCGTGTGAATACTCTTTTTATTTCTTAATTCTGTAAGCTTTTACTTAACAATTCTCTGTATTGCTCCACCTTAATCCCAATATTTTGGTATAAAAACAAGAAAGAAACCATTCACTAAATCTAAACTTCACAATCTTTACCCATCAAAGATTTGAACCTCAAATCCTGTGAGAACAAACTGACGTACTATATCCCAAAATTCAGTAATTTTCCTCGTTAAAAGTAAAATTATTGAAGCAATAAACCAAATTCATAATGTAGACAATGATCACTACCTAGATGGGAGCCTCTGTGAATTGGGTTCCATTAGAGATTGAATTTATGCAACTTTTACAGAGTTTGGTTTCCGTATCTGACGATCAATTTATTATTGTCCTAATATAAAATGATATGGGTTATATATTCTCGTTACCCTAAAAGCAGTCATCTAAATATAATTATATAGTTGAAAGCAAAAAAACCACCATTCCAAGTCAACTGTGGGGCATTAAGCTACAGGGAAAGCAGATAGGGTAAACTTTATTTGTCATCTCTCTCTCTACCGGATAGTTCATTATTCATTCATTTCTCTCCATTTCTTCTAATTCTTCTTCTTCTTCTCTCTCTCTCTCTCCTCTCTTTTTTTACATACAGTCTCACACTTGCAGCTAGGCCTACAATTCTTTCCCAAAACTACAATGAGAAAACCTTGTGTGATAACAAGACATGAATAGGGCTTGGTCCAAAGAAGAGACCGAAAGCTCATTGACTACGTCACTAAAATGGTGAAGGTATGGCGCTCACTTCCACAAGCTGCAGGTACATATATATTATATTATATATATCTCTATATATAATCAAAGGAAAGAAAAAGGAAAGAAAATGAAAAAGACAGTAATTTTAGTTGATTGTTTGTTTTAGTCATTATCATCTTTTTTCTTTTCCAAACACTTTGGAATGAGAAAATTCAGTAAAAGGAAGAAAAGAAAAAGACTTTGTGGATGCAATGAAATATTGAAATAGATATTAACATAAATTTTCATAACCTTTATCTGATCATGAAGTAGTATTGAAAAGCAAAAATTGACAGAGATTTGGTCAATAATATTTTCTGTAAATTGGTTAATTAATTAGGTTTGCTTCGTTGTGGGAAAAGTTGTCGATTAAGATGGATAAATTATCTAAGGCCAGACCTCAAAAGAGGAAACTTGGTGAGATAAGAGGATCTCATCATCAAGCTCCATGCTCTCCTGGGAAATAGGTGAATTATTTTTAATTTGTCACCTTAATTAACTTGTTAATTATAATACTTCCTTAAAATTAAGAACAAATGCATCAAAAAGATTTAATTTACAATTAAGATGATGCACTGCAGGTGGTCTCTTATAGCTGGAAGATTGCCGGGGAGGACAGACAATGAGGTCAAAATTATTGGAACTCTCATCTAAGAAGAAGCTAGTGAGCATGGGAATCAATCCAGTAATCATCGAATTACAGCGTTTCTATTCTGCGCCCACACAGTCAAATCGATTCATCAACAAGATGCTTTAACTTCTCAAGAACCTGATCTGAGCCTTAAACTTGCTGCCTCTAATCCCTTGGAAGAGATGAGCAAAACTTAGTTATAGTACAGATGCAAAGAGGACATCGCTGTCAATCCTCCACACTTCTTCTCTTCAAATGATTTGACGCAGAATTTAACCAAGAACTAATGACGTATAAGGATTTGTTTTTGATATGAAAAGTGTTGTAATTAGCACATGAGATCTACACTCGTTGGTATTTATAAAACGAGTTGTCTTTGTAGTGTGCAATATATATTTTGGGTAAACTCAGTACTTGCCTCTCTTCGTGACTCGAATACAAGATCCTGGGTATAGCTAATCCCAGTTACTGAAAGACTTGCACACCCGATCACAAAGGAGAGGTTTAGTGTGCAATATCAATACATGTCATATTATTTACCTTTTATATATGTTTATAATAAAATGTAATGTATTATGATCTATTTTAATCGTCTTGTACCCAATGAAATCTTTTAGGTGCGTCTGATATATCAAATATGTATCATATTGTACAACTTTTATGCCCATTTATAAAATGGACATGTAATAAATATGCATTCTATTTTTAACTGTTTTGTACATGTTTTGGTCCTTTTTATTCATTGTGATCATAAATAGTAGATTATTTTCTTCTTTCTTAGTGTATATGTGGTGAGATCCACTTGATAGTTGTATTCATGATGATGCATAACACTAGTCCTATACAGGACTGGTGGATTTTGACTAACTAAATGAGAAATTACAAAGATGTAGAGTTTTAAATCTAAGTAAATTACCAAAGACAAAATAATGTTATAATTGTACACCTAGTTTTTATCTTCATGTAAAGATTTAACTCTTCACCTAAATGGAGAGCCATTCTGTAATTTTAAAGAATGTACATTTTTTATCGAATTATCTTCCATATATTGATATAATTTGAGGTGAGTCTGACTTCTTACCCAATAGGCATTGTTGAATGGAATTACCCCCTCTTATATCCAATAGGTTTGGTGTGCCTAGTCAATGTAGACTCCAACACTCCCCGCACCGGTCAAGCCCATATGTTGGATCATGTCTGTTGATAGAGGTAGTTGTTGGCTCTAACTCTCATTCGTTGGTCAAGCGTTCAGTTCAACTAACCTGAGCTCTGATACCATGATAAATTTGAGATGAATCTGACTCCTCACCCAATAAAGCTTTGTTAATGAGAGGATTACCTCATTTTATAACCCAATAGTTTGAGCTTACCTATTCGATGTGCACCTCTACAATGACCACCAAAATCTAGTTTATTTAGTTGTGCCCCTAATCCAAGCGTGTCTCTCTCATATTTCATTTACAATGTTGTTCAACTTATTTATCTCTCAAGCATGAAGTCCGATATAAGATTGGGAATATTGCACGTCTAATGTTAAACATACAAAGTAAGTAGTATAGGCATTCAATGGTAGTGGTAAAGCTTACATATTTGTGCATTCTATAAAAGAAAAAAAAAAAAAAACAGAAAATCTGAATGTTTATATACCTTTTATGTATAATGCATTAGTTGTTTGTGATCTTGTGCATGAGACCGATCATTTGAGCTAATATAAACCTAAGCAACATGCACTTCATCATCCTTTCATATGCAATATGTCATCTTGTTGCAGAAATTTGAGCAAAATGTTCACACACAGATAGTCAAAATACGAGCAGTAGGTCGAAAGATTCGAAGATTAGGGCATAGAATCTAACTCACTCTAGTTATATTAAAAGAAATAATAAATATTGTAACCTAATACGGTAATAATATTTTTATATCGTTAATGTAGTGAATTTCGACTATAGGATAAAGAGTTAGGATGCTAATTTTGTCGGTTATATATTATACAATTTTAAATAATAAT